CAGAGAACATCACTGCACGAGGACTGGAATCCATCCCCAACTTCTACTACAGAGATGATGGCCTGAAGCTGTGGAACATCATCAACAGGTTATCTTTCAATAAATATCACATCTGTCCAGACCGATTTATTCTACAAGCAACAGCTGAGAGTCTTTCAGTCTTGTTCACATACAAACATTTTAAATCTAATTATTTTGTGTTCACTAGGTTTGTGAAGGCAGTAGTGGAGTACTACTATCCCTCAGACAGTGATGTACGTAAAGACACCGAGCTGCAGGAATGGATCAGTGAGATATTCACACATGGCTTCTTAGGAAACACAGCCTCAGGTATTTAACCCATGCTGTGACGTCATTTGTAAACACAAGATATATAAAATCTTAATAGTAGCCTTTAATATTTAACGAAGATAAGGATTGCCAATAATTAACTCACAGTAATTGTGCTACCAACAGGGTTTCCAGCAAGCTTTCATACTGTCGAGGAGGTGATCAAATTCATCACCATGCTGATCTTCACAGTGACGGGTCAACATGCTGCTGTAAACAATGGACAGGTAATTAGTTGGGACAATGGAATATGTATTGATGTTTGATCAAGTATAAGTTTGTTTTAACAATTCAAATGTATGAACATTTGGCAGGTCTGCAATCTGGTTATTATTCATTCCATTTCTTTCTTTCTTCCCAATGTAGATTTACATCATAATTTATGTAATGTTTGACATTAAAATAAGTTTACAGAATTTGTTTTCCATCGAAGTTGTTACATATTGAAATGTCTCTTATAACTTAGTTCGACTTCTACTCCTGGGGGCCAAATGAGTCACTCCTGCTGATGAAACCTCCTCCGACCACTAAGGGGCAGTCAAGCATGAAGACTATTTTGGAGACCCTCCCAGATGTTGGCGACACAGTCAGCTTTGCAGCAATGGTTTGGCTACTTTCAGCGAAGTACACTGACGAGGTAGGTTTGGTGATGATTAGGGGTGGGGGAAAAAATCGATACAGCATAGTAACGCGATATTTTGCGTGGCGATATTGTATCGATACATGGACGCCAAGTATCGATCTTTTATTATATAAACTATTAAAAACAGAAAATTTTTATTTATTTTTTTTTTTAGAAAAATCAAATCAATTACTTTTTCAGTCCACTAAATGGTGCTGAGTTATTTTCTGGTGAGGTCAGCAAAGGTCCCGGGTCAGTGTGATTGGTAGGAAGTTGGTCAAAACAAAGATAGAGACATCTGGCCTCACAACGGGGGTTAAATCTGCCAACAGTAGCCAGGCTCATGGGGAGAGTGCAGCGCATAACTGTCCCTCTGCCCTTGACGTCCACGCATCGCAAGTTATACTGAGTTATATAACTCTTATATCCTAATTATATAAGTTATAGTTCATATACTGAGTTCACACATTTGCATTTAGTTAAGTTGGACTATGTAGTAATACAAACAGTTCAGTTTGTCAGGTGCATGCAATATTTATGACATTGTTGGTCAGTCTGTCTGCTTGACAATCCTATTTTGCTGCAATAAAAATGATTGAAGTGAGATGAACAGACTGAAAACTTTATCTTATTAGATAAAACATGTTGACACAGTTTTCCTTTGGGGACATAATTTGAAGTTGAAAAAAGTAATAAATCGCAATAAATCGCAGTATCGTGATAATATCGCAGTATCGTGATAATATCGTATCGTGACCCAAGTATCGCGATAATATCGTATCGCGGGATCTCTGGTGATTCGCACCCCTAGTGATGATAAACATTCATTATAGCTCGTCCACATTTGAAGTGTTTAAAATAAATCGCACCAAGCACAATACTGTGTCAATCTGATTTACTGTTTCATTTTGTGCTTTTGGCAGGTTCTCATGGGTTCATACCCCGATGAACGATTCCAAGAGCCTGCTCCAAAGCAGATGATGAAGAAATTCCAAGCAGAGTTGTCCGACCTCACTGAAGCAATTTCAACAAGAAACTTGCAGCTTGAAATACCCTACATATACATGAAGCCTTCTGAGATCGAGAACAGTATCGCTATTTAGCTCAGCCTGATAAGCCTTTTTTATCTCTCTGTATTAGGCAACAATATCAATACCTTTTTAACACCTGTCTTGCATGCTGGGTTGTGGGTTAAACTCTGGAAGACTATACTCTAGGCTGTATCATGTTAAGTCAGCCTATGATAGGGTACCTGTATCTTGAATTATGTTTTACATAGACATATGTTGAGAAATACCCTAAATGAGTGTGTCGGTGACTGTAATTTGTGTTAGATGTACAGAGTCACAAAAACGTGTAAAAGGATCAGAGACAGGAGCCAACCAATCCCAATTTAGGTCCCCTGTAAAAAATACAGCTCATTGTAATTCACTGTAGACTAAAGATTGTTAACAGTGAACACAATGTATCTTTTGGTGCAGAAGGAAGTCTCTCGCATCCCACAATTGTGATAATGCTACACTGTAATGAATTGCTGGAAGGGGGGTGAATTTGACTATGAGAGTAATCTGTGAAAAGTAATACTTTGGATTTGTTGAACTTGTTTAATGTTGGCTTGTGCTTATTAAAACACTTCCCGCTGGGTTGCAACTTCAATTCGCCGTCTCTTCTCGTCATTTTGCCACAACAATTTTCAACGSCATCTTRCAGTATTTCATAATAACTGTAACATACAGTTAAATGTTCATCCCTCACATGTAAATTAACAGTCAATTCTGTCAATTAACAATAACAGCATACTACTGTAATTTATCAGCATAACACTATTTTCTGTGAAGTGGTGGAAATACGCTTCACTATACAAGTTCAGTGAATCACAATCCATCTACATCGTACTGTCTATTTTAGGTTAATGTACCTGTAATGACGATAGAATATTTTTTATTATTCAAACTGTTCATTGCCTAAAAATTGTTTTTGAGTGACAAGATGTGACCGACTGCTCCTGAACGTGACTTTGGAGCACAGCTTCAGTTCATCCTTCTGAGCACAGCCATGTGGAGATCAACCGAGGAGCCGAGGTAAAGCTTATCACCCGAAATTCAAAGTCTCCAGTATTGTTTTGTCTTCATGATTATTGAACTGTTAACATGTAAGTGTCAGGATCCCTGTCTGACCCATTGTGTGTTAACCTCTGTTTCCCCCAATCTCCTCTCCTCATGTGTCTGTCATTCCCCTGTTTGTTTTGTTATGCCATGTGATTGGTGTTGTTTTCTCGGGCCTGCCTCCAGACACCTCCCATTGTCACAGCCCTGATGGATGCACAGCTGCGGACAATCTGGCTCGTTACCTGGCAGCATATCAACCCTGGTCTTGCAGGCCTGGGTTGTCAGTCGGTATTGTCTTCTGCCTCGGTAGCCTCTGCCGCCGTTCCGTAAGTTGAACCACCATTGTCTATTCCCGGACTAACCTCTCTAACCATTGAGTTACGGTCATATATGCTTGTGTTTCTTGGTTTGTGACTCTACTTACCTTACTAGGGACAAAATGCAACACCTTAAACATTTTATTCATTTAAAAGCATTTTATTCATTTTTATTTAAAAATAACAACTTTTCCACAGTGCTGGGCTTCAGGCTTCTGATTATTTTGCCTGCTTTAGAAAACACCCTTTCACAGGCACAGATGAAGCTGGGGTACAGAGAATAGTTTGCAAACAAATGCGCAATAAAGTCAGAAGTACACAAAATGTGAGGGGGGATCATTGTGTTTTGCTGCCCCTTATATTTTGAATCTCACGCCAAACCCGTGAACCATTTCCTGAATCAGTCACGTGGTATGGCCGGCTCGCGAGGCTTCGAACGTCACCACATACAACACAAGCCTCGATACGCGCTTCACAAAAATTGTCCTGGATTACTCGACACAGGCTTCTAAGCCTCGACACGAAAGGTCACATCACTAGTGTAGAGTACTGATCAATCTGTGTACTCTCCGGTGTCGAGCCACGGGACTCGCACCGTCGATCTGCCTGCCCTCCGGTGTCGGACCACGGGCTCCACACCTTCCTGACCTCTTACTCCGGCTAAATGAAAACTGTTACACCGGACTGTCTCCTGTGGTCTTGTGTTGGGGGAAAAAATCTAAATGACTAATTAATAAGCGTTTAATAAGTGAATGTTATACATTTAACATAGGCTCATGTCCTCTGTAGTGTTTAAGGCCTGTGTCCTTGTGTGAACTTTCACTGACGCATTTCTCAGCAAATGTTTAGTCCATTAAGAAGCAGTTGATTGCCGAAAGAACACTTCAGCTGTTTGTCCTGAATAAGAATGATAATAAACTTATAGAAAGCGCCAATACTTACGCAGGGCTGATTTGCGACCATGATTTACGAGAACAAATTGTTAAAGTATCCAGATATGTAGATGCCTGTGTGAAACGCAAAGTGTGTTACCTTGTGCCAGCCCACTGCATGTTGTTTACTTAGTATAAATATCAGAGACTCTGAGACAGATCTTCGAGCGGTCTTGATGTACATTCTGTATGTGAATCAACCCTTTCTCCTTCTTTGCAAAGAATACATGTCCAATGATGAATGATTTTTACACCAATCTCACGTGAATTTTTCTAACACAATGGTCCTTTGAGCCGGATCTCAATACCTCCACTTCTCTTCAGCTTTGAACCTGAAACCTTGCACGGGAGAGTCCAGGACTCTTGACAAAGACCTCCGCCTGATTCTCACACAAGAATCCTTTGGTAAATTGAGAGGCCAGGATTTTGCTGAAGGGCAACGGAGTGACGAGATCCTTTTGGTGAACCAGACTGGTGAGAATCATTTCTTTTGGAAAATCTGGATATATTCCTTTTTTATGACACCAGAACTAAAAAAGAGGTAACTTGAGTTTTAGCACTAAAACGGACGTATTCCTTTTTTATGACACTAGAACTAAAAAATGTGTAAAAATAAGTAAACTGAGGGAGGATTGAGATTCCTCCTTTTTACTACAAAAATCAAATGAAAATAAATTAAATTAAAAACATTCGTAAACTGAGGGGGATTGAGATTCTTCTTTTTACAAAAAATAAAAAAATATATAATAAAAATAAATAAATAGGAAAATCTCTCTTTGCTTCCTTTCTTTCACTATACAATTTGAAATAATAACTATACTAGAGTATGGGGCTAATACTAGCAAAGAGTAAAGATGATACTTTAAAGGGAGAGATTAAATGCATGAGGAAAGTGTTAACGTGACTAATTCTCCTGATTTGTATCCAAGCGTACATCTTTGTGAGGTGGTGTGCGGGGGACGGCCTCCTCCGAATGTTCCCCCACCCACTGCTTCACCCCCAGATCTTCCACAGGCAGCGGAGCTTGTTCAGACTTCACAGGCTCCCAACCATCCGAAAACTCCTCTCCTCTCTCTCCCGCCTCCCACTGTCCTGGAGGCTCTCGGACAAAACACAGAAACAACTGAGCTCGCGACGGTACTGGGAAAAGTCATGAGCGAGACTTTTGGCAGACTGCTCTACGAGCCAGAATCCACCAGAAGGGGCATAACATACAGTAAGCCACCTTTACAAATGTCGTGCTATCCAAATGCTACAGAAAACCTAACTTTAGCAAAAGTCAAGGACTGTACTCAAAACTCAGACTAATTGGTTTCTACTTCAGCAACAGTGCTGAATAACCAAAAGAAAAAAGGCAAACCGAATGCTGACACATGTTATTGACTATGATGATGGTAATGATGAAGTGTCTGAACATGTTTGTTCGAATGTGTATTTCCGAGACAATCAAAGAGTGGAGCCTTCCGCGGAGGACAAGGTAAGAGCAGAGGAGGAGGGTTCGGAGGAAGGAGCGGTGCTTGCTTCATCTGTGGAGGGGGGGCATTGGGCATGCGAATGCAGGACCGGAGAAAGAGTGGACAGGGGGAGGACATCGGAGGAGGGGGGGGAAGTCGACACCACATTCAACAGATGAATCGGGTCATGTAAAAACACGCATACACACTGATGCACAGACACAAACTGACGGTAAAGAATAATAGATAGAAATATTGGAACTATATCAAATAGAATTGTGGGGTTAGTTATTGAGGTGTGCGAGGTAGTATTGTTTGTGTGATTTTGGAGCATGTACAAACAGAATATCTATCGGTACCATTCAGAGAATGAAAGTGGTTTGAATAAATGATTGACTGTTGTGTGCAAGAGGTTTCTAACTCACCAAATTATTACTACAGTGTTGATAAACTAGGTCACGGTCACAACAAAGGCCGTGCTCTTGTCTAAATTTAAACAAAATAAGTGAGACATTTTCTCTCTCCTCTGCTGAGGAAGAGGCTTTGAAAACAATGAATGCAACTAAAATAGCTAAATTTGACCCACCAGTGGAGGAATCTTACTTTATGTGGATGAACATGGTCATAAAGTAAGGAAAAACAAACTCCAACTCTGGAAAGACAAAGTAAAATATTTGGCTTATGATTTATCTAAGGATGGCCGATGCAAAAGAAAAGAAGCCGTTCTCAAAGCAAACAAAAAGACAAATGAAGTCATTCTTAGGAGTGACTAATTTCTGTAAAAGTTGGGTTCCTAATTATGTTGAATTAGCTAAAACTTTATCAAAATTAATTTATGATAAACCTATGGCAGCACACAACAAATTGTGCTGGACTCTTGAAGCAGACAAAGATTTAATATTAAAAAAATATATTAACAAGTTCATCAGTGCTGGGATTGCCAAATTATGACAAGTCATTTACACAGACAGTAGACTGCAGAGGGGGTTTTACATTCCATTTGAAGATGCAGATGTGACTGTTTGTTGATGGCTCGTGTAAGAAGAATTTAGATGGTAAAAATGCAACGGGATATGCAGTAGTGACAAATAATAACCAGATGAGGAATTTGAGGAAGTATGGAAGGGAGAGTGAGATAGAAAAGTTATGTATGCCAAGAGGGAAAGACAAATGTTTAAAGTGGACTGGAAAGGATATAGTATGTGAAAAAGGAAAGCACAAGTAAGAGAATGAAAGAGATTAAGGAAAATGCTGCACAGCAAGAATAAAAACATATTGGATAAAACAAAACTTCAAAATAAACACAATTTCTGGAAATGACCTGAGGGCAAACTAATCTTACCTAAGCCCTAATATAGATATACGGCTCTTTTGAGCCATGGGTTGGACCGTGTCTCAACAGGTGGGAAGGTATCTATGATAAAGAGGGTCTTTGCAGCACATGGTTTCAAAAACGACAACTTTTTTTGGGTCTAGCATGCACTGTATGTGCAAAATATAATCCATTTCAACATATTTGCATGGATTTCATTGAACTACACTAATATGCAGAGAAGAAATATTGCTTGACAATAATTGAGATACTCTAAATGGCTCGAGATGCTATTACGGAAGCAAAAGCTTTGACTAAAGACATAATGCGTGTGTTTAACGGTTTGAAATACCAGTAATAAAATATTGTGAAAATGATATACATTTTGTAAACGAAGTAATAAAACATTTTGCTGAGGTATTTGGAATAAACATGAAATATCATTGCTCTTATCACCCAGTCAGCAGGGTTGATTAAAAGAACAAATGGTACAATTCAATCAAAATTAAGACAATACAGCATAATATATATGAATATA